TTTGCTTTGTTTCACAGAAGTAGGGGTGCTGAACTGTTGTTTTCATTTGTCTCCATATATTGCTAGGTCTCTTTTAATTTGGTCATTGATCCATTGATTATTTAGGACCATGTTGTTAAGCCTCTATGTGTTTGTGACCCTTTTTGTTTTCTTTGCTTAATTCATTTTTAGTTTCATACCATTGTGATCTGAGAAGTTGGTTGGTACAATTTCAACCTTTTTGAATTTACAGAGGCTCCTTTTGTGGCCTTGTATGTGATCTATTCTGGAAAATGTTCCACGTGCACTTGAGAAGAATGTGTATCCTGTTGTTTTTGGGTGGAGTGTTCTGTAGATGTCTGTTAGGTCCATCTGTTCTAATGTGTTTTTCAGTGCCTCTGTCTCCTTATTTATTTTCTGTCTGGTTGATCTGTCTTTTGGAGCAAGTGGTGTGATAAAATCTCCTAAAATGCATGCATTGCATTCTATTTCCCCCTTTAATTCTGTTAGTATTTGTTGCACATATTTGGGTGCTCCTATGTTGGGTGCATAGATATTTATAATGGTTATATCCTCTTTTTGGACTTTATCATTATATAGTGTCCTTCCTTGTCTCTTGTTACTTTCTTTGTTTTGAAGTCATTTTATCTGATGCAAGTACTGCAACTCCTGCTTTTTTCTCCCTATTGTTTACATGAAATATCTTTGTCCATCCCTTCACTTTTAGTCTATGTATGTCTTTGAGTTTGAAGTGAGTCTCTTGTCAGCAGCATATAGGTCTTGCTTTTTTATCCATTCTCTAACTCTGTGTCTTTTGATTGGTGCATTCAGACCATTGACATTTAGGGTGATAATCAATAGATATGTACGTATTTCCATTGCAGGATTTGGATTTGTGGTTACCAAAGATTCAAACATAGCTTCTTTCTATCTAGCAGTCTAACTTAACTCACTTATTATGCTATTATAAACACAAGCTGAACATTCTTTTTTTTCTCCCTTCTTTGTCTTCCTTCTCCACTCTATATGTTGGGTGTCATAGTCTGTACTCTTTGTGTATCCCTCTACTGACTTTGTGGTTAGCTGACTTAATTTTTCATTTGTTCAGTAATTAATTGGTCTACTTTCTTTACTGTGGTTTTATTTTCTCTGTGACTGCTGTTTAGCCTTAGGAACACTTCCATCTAGAGCAGTCCCTTTAAAATAGAGATGGTTTGGGGGAGGTAAATTCCCTCAGCTTTTGCTTATCTGGAAATTGTTTAATCCCCTCCTCAAATTTAAATGATAGTTTTGCATAGAGTATTCTTGGTTTGAGGCCCTTCTGTTTCATTGCATTGCATTCATGCCACTCCCTTCTGGCCTGTAAGGTTTCTGCTGAGAAGTCTGATGATATCCTGATGGGTTTTCCTTTGTAGGTGATCTTTTTTCTCTCCCTGGCTGCTTTTAATACTCTGTCCTTGTCCTTGATCTTTGCCATTTTAATTATTATATGAATTGGTGTTGTCTTCCTTGGGTCCCTTATATTGGGAGATCTGTGTACTTCCATGACCTGAGAGACTATTTCCTTCCCCAGAATGGGGAAGTTTTCAGCAATTATTTTTTCAAAGACACTTTCTATCACTTTTTCTCTCTCCTCTTCTTCTGGTACCCTTGTAAAGCAAGTATTATTCCATTTCGATTGGTCACACAGTTCTCTTAATATTCTTTCATTTCTAGAGATCCTTTTTTGTCTCTCTCCCCCAGCTTCTTTGTATTCTTGTTCTCTAATTTCTATTCCATTTACCATCTCCTCTACCTCATCTAATCTGCTTTTAAGTCCCTCCATTGTGTGTTTCATTTCAGCTACTGTATTTTTCAAGGTGTCTACCTCCCTCCTGAATTTGTTTCTTAGCCCTTGGATATTTTTCTGTAGCTTCATTAGCATGCTTATGACTTTTGTTTTGAATTCTTTTGATTTGTGATTTCAGTTTCACTGGGCCCTCTTTCTTGTGTTTGAGGGATTTGGGATTGAACAAAGTTCTTCTGCCTTTTCATAATCCTATTGTATAGTGAGAAATATCAGGTTTGTGTAGGCGGCACCCTCTAGTGCTCAGAAGCTCTGCTCTTTGGAGCTACCCAGCACCTGTAGCAATGGTAGTGGTTGCAGGCAAGCGGTGCCAGTGCCTACCCTAAAGAGAGAGCTCTTTTCTGCTTCCCTGCCGCAGACCCAGTCTCTTCTCTCAGGGCCTCTGCGTTAAGGCCCCAGGCTGCTGTAGTGGGGCTTCCCTCTGGCTGGCCTGAAGCAATGGCGGTGTTGCAGGCGAGCGGCACTAGTGCCTTCTGGGAGGACAGAGCCCTTTCCTGCTTCCTGGCTGCAGTTCCTACCTTTGCTGTCTCAGAGCCAGTTAGCTGTGCACGCAAGGGGCAGTCTCTGCGTTAAGCCACTGTAGTTGCTATAGGTGGGGCTGCCCTCCGGCTGGTCTGGCACAATGGTGGGGGTGCAGGTTTGCACGCAGGTGCCAGAGGGGAGGAAGGAATGGCAGGCTGTTTATTGTGGTGGGGTGCCTCAGGGCTGCATTGCCAGTCAGGGGGATAGAGCACCTGAAGCTCCTGAAAGTTTCCAACCTGCTGGGTGAGTGTGGCAGGACAATTTTGTCCACCTGTTCCTTCTCCTGAGTGGCAAGCTCTGTGTAATCCTTGCCCCTTTAGCAGCCCTCTCACTGTTGGGAAGTCTTTCAAAGTGCCCGCCTTTCTTTTGTCCCAGAGCCAGCCGGTTGTGGGAACCTTTTCTCCACAAATGGCTAGAATCTGTCTTTGTCTTTGCTTTTCAACGCCTCTGATCTCCAGAGCACCATGCAATGTGGGTTTGTGCTCCTGGAGTAGGTTTCTAGGCTGGGTATTTAGCAGTCCTGGGCTTCTACTCCTTCCCTGCTCGGTTTCCCTTTCTCCCACCAGTGAGCTGGGGCAGTGGGAAGGGCTTGGTCCTGTGTGGTTGTGGCTTTGTTACTTTTCCCTTGTCTGTGATGTACATTTTATGTTCTTTTATCCCAGACGTAGACTGGCCTGTGCAATCTTAATTCTGGTCACTCTTTTAAGAATAGTTGTATTTGCTGTATTTTTGTATTATATATGGTTTTGGGAAGAGATTTCTGCTTCAGTTCTCACACCACCATCTTTTTTCTGATGAATTTTTATATTAGGAATGATTTTTTACTTTCATGGTGAAAATTACAGGCCCCACTTTGTATGTGACTCACTGTTTATGAAAGCAGCCATTAGAAACTAAGAATTCATTTACAAATATTGAATATCCATTATAGTATCATCTCACACGCTTAAAAATCTTTAGTAATTGCCAACAAATTGCTGTGTTACATGTAAAACTTAATATATAAATATTTCCCTTACACTTGTAGGGGAAAAACATGGAAAAATATGGATATTTTAGAACAAGAATAATTTTATGTTAAAATTCATGCATTCATTTTCATTTGAGTAATCAAAGAAAGTCAATAAACCCAAACTTTTTAAAATTCTTTTTGTGCATAGGACTCCCCCAACCTATACATGTTTAAGCCCATTAGTAATGATTGCAAACTCTGGTATTAAATATTACGTAGAACAAAGGGCTTAATTAAGTTTACAGACATTTTTCCATATCCTTGGAGCACTAAGGATTACTGAAGGTGGCGTTAATTTAGTTATAGAACTATGGACCATTTTTACCATGGTCACCTGTATTGCAGTTTGAATCATAGCTGTTAGTACTGATACACACAGAACCACAAATATGAACTACGAGTGCATGCCTTTACTCTTAAATGTATAATACTTTAATTTATATGACAGGTTCTTTGTAGTTGGCTTACTTGATAAAAGGAGAAATCCAAATATATTTTGATTCAGTATATCCAAAGTTTCTCTATTATTCTCCTTTTCCTAAGTGATGCACTGATGCATTTATTATGGATCATCTGAACAATAGGAAGATTAGATAAATATTTGATTATAATAAAACAAATATGGAAATTGTAAAGCTGTGTAAGTAATTACATTATAGTAGTCTAAAGATACTTGGTAAATTGAAAGATAATTTAGAAGCAGACTGAGGTTGATTATTCCATGTCACAAATTTTTTTCTTGATCCAGGGGAAGGCAATGTAGATTTAAGTGAACCACAGTAACACCTGCCTATTAAAATAGTGGGATGTACTCATGCCACATAACTTTTATCAATGAATTAGTACTGTACGGCAAAAAATAAAAATAGTTAAATATAGTCTTTTGTGATTATATGTTCTGATGTTTGTGAACTGTTTCTTGAAAAGTTTCATTTTACTTTTTGTCAGCACTTATTAGAGGGGACAAGGTATTAATCAGATTTTTTACTAAGATCATGTGCTAAGTTCTACTTCATCTTTCTGTTTGAGAGAAGAAAACTTGTTTCTTTTTTCTGAGTTGACTAACATTCTCTTGACAACTCTCATACTAGTTGAGTTTATTTTGGTGTTATTTTTTATAATTTAAAGAACAATTACACTCGAGGGAATGAAGATACTCAGAAGTCATCTGTCTTAGCAATTAAATAATATATAATTCTGTGAAATTACTTGCAGACTTAAAATTGTGACACTTGTTTCTATTCAAGCATTCGGATGATTTTCTTCAGAATTTGAAGTTCTAAGTACATTATGTGCCATAAAACATAGAAATAGCGAACGTGTTTTGATAAAGTTGAAATTCATGTGTGGGAAGGTATTATAAATGGGGAAGGGAAGAGGAAATAGTCCCCAGAGACCACAACTATATTCCTTCTTTGATTTGCCAGAGATACACTTAAAGTCAACAGACTTCTAAAATAGCACTGCTTGAGAGTTTATTGAAAAAATCATACCCAGAACTGTTTTTCTTACCTCAAAAATCAGTACCATATTTTTATGATATACTAGTCTGAAGACCCTTTGGCTACTGATGATGTGGAAATTGGCAAATAAGTGTCTTCTTTAGGCTTTTGTGATTAATACCTACTTTTTTCTTTTCAGTGTACTTCCACAGGTATGCCAGCACATATGCAAAGCAGATCTATGTTAAGGCCACTGGAGCTCTCCTTACCCAACCAAACCTCATATTCTGAAGATGAAATTTTAAAGAAAGAGTTAGAAGCAATGAGAACTTTCTGTGATTCAGCAAAACAAGACCGACTCAAGCTCCAAAATGAGCTGGCTCACAGGGTGGCAGAGTGCAAAGCTTTAGCATTAGAGTGTGAGAGGATCAAGGAGGATTCAGATGAACAGATTAAGCAATTAGAAGATGCGCTGAAAGATGTGCAGAAGAGAATGTATGAGTCAGAAGGTAAAGTTAAACAGATGCAGACTCATTTTCTTGCCCTTAAAGAGCACCTAACAAGTGAAGCAGCTACAGGGAATCACAGACTAACAGAGGAATTGAAGGATCAGTTGAAAGACATGAAAGCAAAATATGAAGGTGCTTCAGCAGAAGTGGGAAAATTAAGAAACCAAATCAAACAAAATGAGATGTTAGTAGAAGAGTTTAAGAGGGATGAAGGCAAGCTGATAGAAGAAAATAAGCGATTGCAGAAAGAATTCGGAATGTGTGAAGTGGAGCGAGAGAAGAAAGGGAGAAAAGTCACCGAGATGGAAGGCCAGTTAAAGGAGTTGTTAGCAAAGTTGGCCCTTTCCATTCCAACAGAAAAATTTGAAAACATGAAGAGCTTATTATCAAGTGAAGTAAATGAGAAGGCAAAAAAATTAGTAGAGATAGAAAGAGAATATGAAAAATCACTTAGTGAAATTAGACAGTTAAAGAGAGAACTTGAGAATCATCGGGCCAAACTTACTCAGTATGTCAAACCAGAGGAACACGAACAGCTCAAGAACAGATTAGAACAAAAATCAGGAGAACTTGAGAAGAAGATCACTGAATTAACATCAAAAAATCAGGCATTACAAAAGGAAATTGAAAGGGTTTATCTGAATAATAAGCTCCTCAACCAGCAGGTACATAACCTAACAACTGAAATGAAAAATCATGTTCCTTTAAAAGTGAATGAAGAAATGAAAAAATCACATGATGTAATTGTGAATGATTTGAATAAAAAGCTTTCAGATGTAACACAAAAATATACAGAGAAGAAGTTGGAAATGGAGAAGTTGCTGATGGAAAATGACAGTTTAAATAAGAATGTTAGCCGCCTGGAAACTGTGTTCGTGCCTCCTGAGAAGCATGAAAAAGAGGTAATGGCTATGAAATCTAATATTGTTGAACTTGAAAAACAGCTATCTGAACTTAATAAAAAATGGGGTGAAGAACAAGAAAAGATCTATTCACTCATGTCTGAAAACACTAACTTGAAAAAGACTATGAGTAATCAGTATGTGCCAGTTAAAGCCCATGAAGAGATTAGAACTGCACTGAGTGGCACGTTAGAGAAAACGAACAGCGAATTACTAGAGGTGAGGAAAAAATTTGAAGCTATAAATCAAGAATGCATGAAAGTAAAGGATGAAAACAGAATATTAAAAAGAAACTTGGAAAACACTCATACCCAAATCAAAGCTGAGTACATCAGCCTAAGAGAGCACAGGGACAAGATGGGTGCTGTAAGTAAGAGCCTGGAAAAAGTCCAGGACGACAGCGCTGAAATACTGGCTGCGCACAGGAGAGGCCAAGAAGAGATCGTGGCACTGCAGGCCGAGATCGAAGCCCAGAAGAAGGAACTTGACACAATACAAGAATGCATTAAGCTGAAATATGCTCCGATTGCCAGCTTGGAAGAGTGTGAGAGAAAATACAAAGCAACAGAGAAAGAACTCAAAGCACGGTTATCAGAGCAGACCCAAAAATACAATATCAGGGAAGAAGAGGCCAAGAAGTGCAAGCAAGAGAATGACAGGTTGAAGGTGGAGATTTTCACTCTGCAGGGGGATCTAAAGGATAAGAGTGTTCTCATTGAGAAGTCTCATGAAATGGAAAGAGTGTTGAGCCGAAAAACAGAAGAGCTCAACAAACAGTTGAAAGAACTATTACAGAAATACACAGAGGTAAGGAACGAGAAAGAGAAGCTAGTTGAAGAGAATGCCAAACAGGCTTCTGAGATGCTTGCAGCAGAGACTCTTTTGCAGAAACAGCATGTTCCTCTGGAACAAGTTGAGACCCTAAAAAAGTCTCTTAATGGCACAATTGAGAATCTAAAGGAAGAACTGAAGAATAAGCAAAGGTGTTATGAGAGGGAGCAGCAGACAGTGACCAAACTGCATCAGATGTTGGAGAATCAGAAGAACTCTTCTGTGCCACTGGCACAGCATTTGCAGATCAAGGAAGCATTCGAGGAAGAAGTTGGAATCATAAAAGCTAGTCTGAGAGAAAAGGAAGAAGAAAGCCAAAACAAAGCGGAAGAAGTCTCCAAACTCCAGTCTGAAGTTCAGGATACTAAACAAGCGCTACGAAAGCTAGAGACTAGAGAGGTGGTTGATTTGTCAAAATACAAAGCAACAAAAAGTGATTTGGAGACACAGATTTCCAATTTAAATGAAAAACTGGCCAATCTGAATAGAAAGTACGAAGAAGTATGTGAGGAAGTTTTGCATGCCAGAAAGAAGGAACTGTCTGCAAAAGACGGGAAGGAATCACTACATTTCAGCATCGAACAGGAAATCAAGGATCAGCAGGAGCGATGCGATCAGTCCTTAGCGACAGTCGCAGAGCTACAGAGAAGGATACAGGAATCTGCTAAACAGGTCGAAGCAAAAGATAGTAAGGTAGGCACCGCGCAGTCTGCGTGGCTTGCTGTGGAGCCCTGGGACAGAAGCACCGGAGCAGAACAGGGCTCTTCTACCAGAGCGTCACACAAATCTGGTTGATAAAAGCATTGACAAAGTGGCCGTTAAATTCCACCTTTCCACTTTGCCTGCCAATGTGCACAAAAATGTGGAATTGAAAAAAAATGGACTCACTCAGACAAAAATCAGAGGCATTTTTCCTTTCGTTTCCTCACCTGGTATAGCCAAGAGTTGAGGACTGTTGGGGAGGCTCAAGCTTTACTTGCCCCCTAAGTGAGTGGTCAAAATCCAGGGAGCTTTAGGGTACCTGAAGAATGGTGAGAGAGAGGAGGAAAAAGGTTTCCGGGGCTTCGAGAACTAAGGACACTGAGGAGCACCCCACACTTGATCTTGGCACTCACCCACACCAGTTAGGCCAAGCCCTGCAATTCACTGTACAGTCTTTCTACAGATGGGCCCCCTCACATGGTATGTCCTGCCCCCCCTTTCTGCTGAGTTAAATCCTCCTTCTACTGAGTTAAATGCATT